CTTCCCGTTCACGTCGCACTTCTCGAACATCATAAAATTGGGCTTGAAGCCGTTGCCAGGACGAACGTGCTCGAGCATGGGAAGGATCTCTTCGTTGGTGCAGTTTTCCTAAGGAAACAAAGGTAAAATCGCGCCGAGAACGGCCCGTGAGAGCCCGGCCCGGGGGACGGCTCCCCTCCGCTCCCCTCCGCTCCCCGGCCCCACTCCCGGCCCCGCCACCCGCCCTACCTGGTGACCGAACTGGTTGCAGGGGAAGCCGAGGACCTGGAACCCGCGGGGACCGAAGCGCTGCTGCAGCTCGTTGAGCTGCTGGTAATCGCGCTTGGTCGTGCCTCAGAGCGACGCCACATTGACCACCAGCAGCACCTTGCCCTTCAGCGAGCCCAGCGACAGCGGCTCCGCCGCGCCCAGGGGCTTCGCCGCCAGCTCCTCCAGCCTGGCCACACGCCGGCCCGCTCCTGCCGCCGCCATGGTGCGCAATGCTGAGGGAGCGGCTCCGCTCCCGCCGCTGCCTCGCTCCGCCCGCCCCGTCCCGCCGGGAGCCGCCCCCGGCCCCGCCCCGAGCCGCCCCCGAGCGCTGCCCCGCCCAGACATCGCCCCCGCACCGCCCGGGCTCGGCGGGGTCTGCGCTGAGGGGCTTGGGGGCTTCGATCAGTGAAATGCGCAGAGCGGGGTGGCTTTAAACCCACAGCTAACAGGGTAGTGTCACCGATCCTCCGAAACGCTGTGGAAAAGCAGCAAAACACAGAATGGTCCAGCCTTCGTAGTGACAGGCCACCCGCACAGTGTGGCACCAAGGCTGCAGCATTCTCCGAGAACACCACTGCCACTGAGCGTGGCCTTGGGGAGAGAAACACCTGCAGTTTGTGCTTCAGGAATGGGAAAGATGAAAGTTTGACAAGAAAGTCTCACAAATATGGATGCTTGGCAGAAAGATTTTTGAATGTAGAATCTGAAGAAGGAACGGAATTGAAAGCAAGTTTTGATATAGAAGGAAATAATTGCTGAGCCAGTCTTACTGGGTAACCAAGAAGGCAAAGGGTCTGTTAGTTAGAAGGGGTTTGTATGGCTTAGAGCAAAGGATAAACCCACCTCAAACAAGAAGGTGTTTTTACCAAGCAGAAAGATAGCACAGGCAAACAAGCCTGCTGATGTTGCAAGTAGAAAAAAGGTCTCAGAGTTTTCCACTGCAAGAAAACTGAAAAACAACTTCTAGCTTAAACTGTAACGTACTAACTTTAGTGATTGGTGAACAGTAACATGAATATGGTAATTATAGTAGCTATGATAGGCTATAGGTAAAAATTAAGGTGTAGATTGGTCCTTCTGTTTTAAGGTGCTCAGCAAAGAAAAGTATATAATGCATTGTAACCAAAACCAAAGGGTGTCCAGGCCTGCCTGCAGCTGGAGCTGACAGCTGTAGGCACAGGCTCTGTCACCCACAACCCTGGGCTGCTGTAACATCTTGGATCTAACAAACTACATTATGAAGAGCTGCCTGGAGTCCCACATCCCTCATTACAGCTCTTACAGAAGAAGAACAGGAGGAGCACAAGAAAGAAGGGCAACAAATTCCCTTCTCCAGAGTCCTATAATTTTTCCACTTATTTGAGGGTGGTAAAGTCTACACACAGGATTACAGCTGGTATATCCTCACTAGATAAAGAGAAGTAAGCTCCTTTCTCAATTTCAGGGGTTGCTTTTTCCCATCCTTGGCTTTTCCATTTCTTGCCTGACTGCTTCAGTCTGTTTGCAGGAGTGTTAGGTCATGCTGTATTGACTGCTCTGTTCCCCACAGACTGAAGGCAGCCCTAAGTGAGCTGGGCTGTTTCTTGTGCTCGCACCAAGCAAGTGGCCCAGCTGTCCCTCCACAGGTCTTTGTGAACCACTGCCCTCCCCCAGAGCACCCTGTGAAGAGGCAGGTCGGGGTCAGGCCTCGTGTCCATGTCCATGGGTTGGACCAACAGGGACAGTGGAGCAGCACAGCCCAGCAGGAACAAAGGGCCAGGGCCTCAGCTCCAGTGCAGCTCCCAGGGGAAGCAGGGAGCCCCTGCTGAGCCTCCTGCCTGCATCTGTGCCAAGCGAGCTCCTTTCACAACAGCCCAAGGTCAGACAGCTGCTTATCAGCCCTGGCCAGCAGCCAAGGCAACCGGGGCCCCCATGCGGGGGATGCGCTCAGCCCGCCCCGCTGTCTGCTCTCCTTTGTGCTTGGGAGCAGAGACTTGTCACGAAATGCCAGCTGTCACCAATAGGCACCACATAATGTGCCTCTCTGCTCTGGGTGCCCAGGTGACTGCAGGATCTGGGGGGCTGCTTTGAGCTGCTCTTGGCACCTGCCCCAATGACTGGGAACTGGAATAGTTCCAGTTCCCAGCTGTGGCAAGTTTTGGGGACTTTCCTGATTATCTTGCATCTTTGGGGACCTGCAGTGTGTTGCAGCAGTGATGGCAGGAGCCATGTCAAGTGTCCTGAGAGAGATTAGTGCTGAAAAATGGCTGATGAACAGAGGCACATGATCCATGTTTGCTCTTGATAAAATTGACAGTTACAGTCAACACAGACTCCTCCTCACCCACCTCTGGGCACAGCGAGACACAGCTCTGAAGAAGAGGAATTTCCCTTCAGGGTGACCTTTACGGTGGGGCCACATCTCTGCTGCCACTTTTGACCTCAGACTGGCACCTTCACTTTTTTGTCTGGTCCCACGGAATTACTCTGAAGTGGGGGAGTTTACTTCTGGGGCCCTGCCCTTTCCAGAGAAGCTCAGGTCAGGGCTTTCCCTTCCTTGATGAGCGAGTTTAAGGGTACAGAATGAACTTCCTTGTTGGCTCAGAGCTATGGCCTGTGCCTGGACACATTCTGTGCAGCCTCCTCAGCTGGGATCCAGAGGAGTGCCAGAAGCTCCAGGGGGACCAGATGGGTTCAGGGGACCCCTTTTGGGCTGTGTGACAAGTGACAGTTGTCCTACATGGTCAAAAAATTACTGTTCAACAGCAACAGCAGCGAGTAATCACAAAGGCCACACCTTCTGGCCTCCTGCTTACATCATGTCCCCACTCCCGGTAGGGAACTCCCTCCCCTGCCCAGGGGGCTGGCACTTGGCTCCTGGCTTTTCCCCTGCCTCTTCCACAGCTCCTTGCCTGCCTGGATCACTCTCCATTAGTGCTGAGCTCTCATTCCCCAGGTCAGGTCTGGCCATCTGTGTCCTCAGCTCGGTTTCATCCAGAGCAAATGTGGCTTCACATTTGGCCAGAGGTGACAGATGTGGCAGGAACCCAGAGGGAGCCAGGCTGCCAGCCCTCAAAGGCAGGAAAGCTGACTGATAACTGAGATGATGGTGTAAGTCAGCAAAAGCTTGGTCACACTGGGCTAACAGTCACTGCTGGATTGAAGAAAAGCAGCAGATACACAGCCACAGGCTTTGAGGAACAGACAACCTGACTCCAAACCCCTGTAAGAGCTGTTCTGTAACTGTGGCCACAGCAGACTGCAACCCCAAGTCCCTGCAAGACTGAAAACCCCCAGATTTGCTTAACTGCAACAAGCCCCCCAGAAAAGGGAACTGCAAATGAGCCACTAAACTTGTCAAAAGGCCAGCAAATTAAATCCTCCCTGGCAGCCCCACGGCCACAGCTGAGAACTTCCTGCTCTGTTCAACCCAGTCACCCTGCAGGGGGAGGACAAACACCCAGGAGAGGAAGGAGGGAAGGGTGGGGTGGGTGAGACACTGGGGCTGTCAGACAATTCACTCTGGGTGTCTGTGGCAGAAGAGGAAGGACAAGGACCAGAGGTACAGGGCATTCCTACGGCTGAGTCTGCTTCTCCTTTGCTGCAGGAAAAGCAATCGGGAGTTGTCCAGAAAAAGCAAAAAAAAAGTGACACAGGTGTTTTGTATGCCATTATGGGATGCAGCCAGGTGCTCAGACATGGACTCCCTCCTACCCAGCCCAGCAAGGAGGCTCTCAGCTCAGCAGCAGCTGCTGTTCACACCAGTGTGAGCATGGATTTGCCCACTGCTGTTCACACCAGTGTGAGCATGGATTTGCCCACTGCTGTTCACACCAGTGTGAGCACAGAGCTGCCCACTGCTGTTCCCTGGCCTTTCCTCCCCAGGAGCAGCACAATCCTCTCTCCAGCATGGGTGCAGCACAGGGCCCACACCGTGAGCCCAGCCCATGCTGCAGGGCTTGAAGGCCTCCCTCATGCAATGCCATGGCAAGCACCCTGCCTTGTGCAACCTCTGCCACTGCTCCAGTGCAGCCCAGCTGCTGCAAACCATCACATGCTCCCACAGCAACACTGCACCTGCTCCTCCCTTCCTCCTGCACAGCCTCCTCCTGCTGCTCCAGTCCCATGCTCAGGACTGACAAACCCAACTCAAGTGATGCACTCTCATCTTTTGGTATCAAAAGCTCCTGGGAAGCTTTGCTGCTCCCTGTGAGGGCCAGGTGAGATACTGCAACTCGGCTCTGCTGCATTTGGAAAGCACCACAAGCAGCAGATGGGTGTCCCTTGCTGGGAAATAAAAATAAGTATTAAAGCACTTGCAACTGCTCAGCGAATTCTCTCTCAGCTTTATCAAAAATGCTATTTCTAATTCAGGCTGTCAGATGCTGGGACAAAAACCCAGAGTGAGGAATACAGACACCAGGATACAGGGAGCTTAGAAAACTGCCTTTATTCTATTAGTTCTTGGAAAAATGAAAATACAGAAAGAGTTTAGTTGGCTGCAGAACAGCAAGAAGTTCACAGGTTAGGAGTCTGATCACTACATGGTAACCAAACTTACACAAAAAGTTTCTTTTTTTTTTTTAAGTTTTGAAACTGGGTCCAGCAATGAATTTAAGGCAACTGAACAGTTCAGAAGCTTTTAGTGTGAGCAGGCTGTCTTTTCTCATCCCTACAGCACGTTATGGAAAATACTCCTCCTGGGTGTGCAGACCACTCGTATCATTCAAATGGGTCAGACTCTTACAAATGAACAGGGGAAGAGGATCAGCTGCTTTCCACCGGACTTTATTTTCAAATACAGTTTCTTAAAAAACCCAGAACACCTTAACGCAGAGGTTACAAGTAACAGTATTAGGAAATCCAATTATACAAAAAATACTACATCTAAGCTGGGGTAAATAGATTTATTTTTGGTAACATACATTTAAACTGGCACTAATTACACAGTAACTAAAAGGTAACTAACATGAAACCACAGAACCCTCACTTTTCCTTAGCTGAATGGGACTTGGTCATTTCAGGGTGATCACATTTTCAAATTAATGTTTTACACCAAGCCATGAAAATCAGATCTTCCTAAATGTGATAGCACTGAAGCTACTCTTGATTCCATACAGCCATGTAACGGTTGTACTCAATTAGAATAGGACGTTAGTTATAAAGTAGTTACAGACCAATCCTCTGTGCTGACAGCTTTTTCTCTTTATAGAGACAAGAAAGAAGATAGAGAATTGTCTTCAATTAGCGCCTGGCATATCCTGTGAGTGCAGAAAAGGTTTGTTAGAGGAATGTTGAGGTTAACCTTGGGTGCACAGATGAATTTGATGCAGATTGTTATAAAAATCATGGTTGGCTTCTAAATACTGGTAGCAAGATGACTCGATTTTTAAATCTCTTAAGTAAATTATAGATAATGAAAAAGGCCAGTAATCATACACTAAGATTAATAAACAGCACTTCAAAATTACTCAAGTGCAGGGTGCTGCTTTGGCCATCTTCCTCTGGCCACGCTTTATAAGAGAAGGCACCCGGACTTTTTCTTGCCACGCCGGGCTTGCAAAGCAGCTCTAGTGGCCATTTCAAACACCTCCCTGACACCGTCTTTGGTCTTTGCCGAACACTCCATGTACCCGAATGCACCAATGCGGTTTGCCATGTCCCGGCCCTCCTCGGGTTTCACAGGCTCCTGCAACAGCACAAAAGCAGCAGGTGAGGACAGCCCAAAGCCACACTGCTCCTCCCCTTCCCACTCAGCTTCCCAACAAATGCAAAGAATTTCTGGATTAAGCACACATAATGAACTGGTGAGTTAAAAATCCAATGCCAGAGGACACGATCAATTTTCTGATATCTCTGAGCTTGAAAGCTGCAAGCCTTATTAAAACGAGCAAGTGACTGCCTATTTCTGATGAAGCATTTATACAATTCTTTGCCACCACTGTAAAAAAGCCTATGAACAAATCCCCAAATCAATGCCTCAGTCTTTGTACACAGGTGTTGATCAGACAGCCCACAGAGACCAGCAGCCAGCTGTGGGTGCCTGTCTGATGCTCTGCTTCAACCACCACACACTTCTGTGTAATACACCATTTATTGTAAGGCTCTGGAAGGAACCTGCCTGCTTCATTTTGGCCAGCTCTCGTCTTGTGTGCTCGTCATTCCTCAGGTCCTTCTTGTTTCCTACCAAGATGATAGGCACGTTGGGGCAGAAATGCTTCACCTCCGGGGTCCACTTCTCTGGGATGTTTTCTGAAGGAAATAAATTGAGGCATGACTGTAAAAAAAATCCCACTTCTGGGGAGAGTTTTATTTTAAAGCTTTTACACGCTGCCTGAGTTGTTGTAACTTGATAATCCACACTGATGCCCTTTTTTCTGCTCTTCATAAGGAAGCAAATAGAGCTGTTCTGGTGTTACCAAAAAAGACAAGCCTGTGTGTGGTAATTTGAAGGCTGAAGGACATGTAACATTTTGGCTTCTCTCAGCAGCTACCTGACAAGGGTTAGCACAAGAGACTTTAAAGAACAGCATGCAGACTTTTGGACTGGAAAGTTATGGAATATTTTGCTTCAAGAGAAACATTTTATTTATCTCCAGAAGCTAGAGGTGGGCACAATAATGAAGCCTAAGTTTTAACCTCACTTCTTTTCCTAAAGCAACACAAAACAACCCCTGTCAGCTCTCCCCTTACTGCAGCAGAGCTGTTCAACACACTAATTACACATACACAGAAACAAAGGCTTAGGGTAAGTAATTTTCAATCTACCATTTCTCCCTACATGCAGCAAATGAATTTGTTCTCATATACAAGCAACCTCCTCCTCACATCGCTACGTGACTTTAGCTTTTTAGTGAAAGGAGGACTTGGGGGCTTTTGAAAGCAAAACCTTGACAAGTTCTGTATAGCAGGAAGTGCTGAACAGCCTAAAACATCTGGCTGTGCTTTCATAAGCTCTTAGACATTTGAGATTCACCAGTGGATATACCTGCAGGCTGCATAATCACTTTTTATCTTCATGAAATTCCATTCAGCTTTTGAAGAGACATTCACTATTATGTAATATGGCATATTTTCTTGCTTGAAGGAACAACTTAAACAAGGGTTTTGAAGCCAGTTTTTGCACTACAGCCAAAATACCAATTCTGCAGCTGCACCTGGAGTGCTCAGGTGTGCTGGCCTCTAGATGCTGCACACCTGAAAAGCTGCCTGGCAGTTCACTGCTCCCAGGGACCCTGGCACCCAGATACTGCTGAACAGGAAGGGAGGAGAGGGAAGAGAATTGTTACAATCTGGGCAAACACAGAGTTCTGCTGCAGCTCTCAGTGTTGCTGCAGAACTCCCTAATGTCTGAAAACTACAAACTCAAAGCAGCAGCAATTCTGAAACTAGGAAAGCTCCCCAAGGGAAAATGCATTCTACAGAGCAATTTCCAAGGGGAATATATTGATATAGAGAAGTGGTTCTGATTCAGCTAGAGATCTACTCACCTAAACTATCAGGACTATCAATTGAAAAACACATAAGTATAACATCAGTATCTGGATAAGAAAGCGGTCTAAGTCGATCGTAGTCTTCCTGTCCTGCTGTATCCCACAAAGCCAACTCAACCTGCAAAGTTAACATAAGGGGTTAGTCAGATCACCAGGAAAGTTCTGATTCAGAAGCCAGGAACACAACAGGAGTGAATAAAATATTTCAGTCAATACCACTCAAAAGGAGGAGACTGCAAGTTCTCCTTTGCCAGGAGAACTATTAGGAATTTTACATTCTGTAACTCCAAAAATCAACTTCTTGCTGCTTATGAGTATTTTCTTTATACCTATGACCACTAAAAGGACATAAAAGCTACCAGCAGGAAAGCAAGACAAAAGAATTGAAAGGAATCAGCTTCAAAGGGCTGGGAGCTCTCTGACAACCATCCCAGAAATACCAGTTTTCAGTGAAAGTGGACTAAGTATATGCTTTTTAGGATTAAGCACATTTTCAATGGGTTTACAGATGGAACATTTAGTGACTAAGAAATGTCAAGATCATACTTATTTGTGCACAAATTTAACAAAACTGATTTGTGTGTAAAGCTTCTTGTTACTAAGAAGTAAAGTACTTAATGTTCTCAATTTTTCTACTTTTGCTGGAGCTAGGTGAGAAAACCCCAACAGGATTGTTTAAAACTGTAGAAGGACCAGCTGACATTTAAAGCAAAGAATTTTAAAAACTATAATCAAGCTCTTTAGGTACATATACTCTTGCTTAAGATTCTCTGATGAGTCTGCCTTCACAATGGACTGGGTGCCTTCTTTAAACCCTTGCATTCAAAAATTCCAGGAAAAAAGTCCACAGCAGCTCAGACAAAGACAGATGGGCAAACCGGGACCCAAGTGTGAGCCTGCATGTCTGTTTGAACTGTGAAGAGACAAAGCCTGGAGTGCACACAAATACAAAAATAATCTTCTGTATTTCAGTCAGAAATACTCCTCCTCTCAGAGTCACCTCTGCAGCTGCAAATGTGAATTCTGGGGCAAATGTTGATATTTTTAAAGCGATGTCTATGATGCTGGAAGCAGCTCCTAAAACACCACATCTCCTACCATCAGCTCTTTGTCTTCATATGATTTCTGGACATTTCTGGGAATGCTTTTCTAGGAAGACAGAGGTAAGTGGCTGTCAAACAGAAGAGGTTTAAGCTCTCCTACAAACTTTTGTCATCAAATTTTCTGAAGACCAAGAGCTTAGGTAAAATATATCCTCTAGTTACAAAAATAAAATTAGCTGATACTGCTCAAGCTGCTGATGCTATTTTCCTTTAGCTACTGGCTGCATCTAGCTGATAGGGCATGACTCCCTGTTCTCTCATTCAGAGATGCAGAGATTCAGGCAGAAAGGAATGAGGAAGTTAGACTTGGTGATGAGACAGAGAAATGGATATCATACATATTTCAAACAATAGTCCTTAGATTGAATACAATATAATATTCCTAAAATACAATATAAAAACTGTAGAACCTGTCACTTGGGGAAAAAACATGTCCTAATATTAGTCTAAAAGTAAATTTTCTTTTACTGATTCACATTATGGGAGAGGAAAGCTCTTTTTAGACTCAAGCAGCAAGAGCTATCATGACTAAATCCATAAATAACCCATCCCTGCAACACCAGGAAATTAAATTTAACATAAAGTCCAAAACTAGCTCAAAAACTTCTTTTTCTCCAGTCAGGACTGACAGTCACTGCATCTGAACTGGAATGGACTGAAAAATGTCCTGGCTGTAGCTGAGGCCAGAGCCAAGGCAATGTCCCACAGGGACAAAACAGGGCAGCTCAGCACCAGCAGCACCAAGAGCTGGCACCTGCCTGAGCTGCAGTCCCATGGCAGAGTCAGCTCTGTGTGCTCACAGCACCCAGACAGACACAGCCTGTGCCTGCCTGACAGGGTTTGGCAACAGCTGAGCTTTCAAGGTGCAAAGCTCCTGCTTTGTGTGCTTCTGGAGCAGCCTGGAAAGTGACAATTTTGCACATCACCCAGCACCCTGCTGGCAGAAGTGCAGAAGGCATCTACCCAAGGATCAGCACCTACAGCTGCCCCTGGAGCAGGTGTGTGACATGTCTGCCTAACAAAAGGACTCAAGAGGTTCCCCTGATTAAAATCTGATTTTCAAAATATTTAAAACTAAAATGAAATGTTTTAATAATTAGTTTACTGAAGTACAAGCTGAAGATGAAGCTCAGTGAGCTGCGGCTACACTTGGGTGCTAAGAATTGTGGTCCTTCAGACAAGCAGGACAGGTGATGCTGATGTACACTACAAAAATCAACCCCCTCATCAACCTGTCTGTCATCTGTTCTCAGAAGGATGCTGCATGTTGCCAGGAGTAGGTATTAAAAAAATCCTCTCAAGGAATTAGTCTTTATAATTACAATACCAGGTCCTTATTAAAGCAGGGACTGTTCCAAAGGCCAGGAGCCACAATGCCCTCAGCATCTTTGCATTGCTCCATCCCCTCCCACCTGCTGCAGCATTCTCCTCACACTGATTGCATGGCTTTCAGAACCTCAGCTTGTGTACAGCTAGAAGCACCTTGTTAGACAGACACTGGGTATGAGCACGTTCTAGCAAGGCCAGTATTTTTTTTTCCACAGGAACATCCTTAATATGTGGTTAGTGCTTATACTGTAAATATATTTTTAAAACTGAAGTAAGTGTGGAGATGTCCATGCTATTCTGAACAAACACCAGTTCATTCTGCCTCTTAGGGAAGGGTTCACATACCTGCTTTCCATCCACTTCAATATCTGCTACGTAATTTTCAAAGACAGTGGGAACATACACTTCAGGGAACTGGTCTTTGCTAAATACAATCAGCAGACAGGTCTTTCCACAGGCACCATCCCCCACTATAACCAGCTTTTTTCGAATGGCTGCCATAGCTGAAAAACAAAACAATGACTTGTTAATTCAACTGATACAGCTTTTAACAGAGATGTTAATAAATAATAATTAATAAACACCAAGTCTTCAATTAATAAGACCTTTTAAATTGGTTACACATGACTGTTAGAGAGACAGACATATCTGGACTTGGGTAAGTTCAGATTCCCATTCTTTTAAGAAAAAACATTCCCCAGCACTTATAAACACACCAGTGAGCCCACTAGGTGCAAGAATAAGAGAAAGGAGAAGAGATGGGCCTGGTTTAGCATTTATTGATCTGTCCTAAAGGCTGAGATGGCAGCACCCAGAGACAATGAGTGTGTGAGCAGCACTGTCCCAGGGTACCCTCTCAGAAGTGGATTCCAGGCAATCATATACAGGATGCTTCAACTGAAGGGCAGTAACATTTTCTTATCACACTGAGTTGTCTTAACCACAAAGTGCCAGTCAGCTGCACTGAGGAGCACCTGCTGCCACCTCAGAGCATCAACAGAAGGATCTCAACCAGTTCCTCAGATTACAACCACCACTCTGCAAAGGATTTTGGCAGGACACATCTCACTCCTCAACCCCATTTCCTGGGCATTAACCTGCTCCCAGGTTAACAGAGCCTGCTGTCAGCTGGCAGTGAAAGAAGTGGAGACCCCTGAGATACTCCATGCAGATCTCTGCTGTGCAATGAAATGATCAATGATTAATTGATTGGTCTGTATCAGGACCATGCAAATCCATGTCCTGCTCATGAGCAAACCTGGCCTCAAAAAGACAGCACAAAAGCTTGGAAAGCTCTAAGGCAAGCCTGGAGTCAGGGTGGGGCCGAAGGAGATGGTTGTTTTGGATCTGGCAGCAAACAAAAGCAGCACTATGTATGTGCCTGCTCTCTCTTTCCTGCAGGTGTTAGCCAGGGATTCAGGAGTGACCTGCCTGCAGCAGAGTGCACTGAGGACAGAGCCAGGAGGACTTTCCTCTCCAGAACACAAAGGCACTCCAGGGGATGCCGCTTAGTCATCCCATGAAGCTTCCTGGAAATGGAGCAAACAGCAACCCCACCACAATACCTATGGCTGCATGACCAAAACAGCACAGAGGGAGCACCCTGTGAGGTCACTTTTGCCATGACAAACCCAAAACAAAGATCTATGAGGATGATCATGGCTGCTGGCAAGGGGAAAAGGCCTCAAAGAAGCACAGGAGAGTTTTAAAGGACATAGTAAAAACATTTTACCCTTTTCACCTCTTCTTTTGCCTCATGAAATGAAGTAAAAAGGTAAAACTACCATCTAAAAGCAAACTTTGGTACTGTTAGGTGGTGAAGAAGCATTCGATATTACTGAGAGATTCTGTACTTCTGCTCCAGGTACAGAGAATGTTCCAGGTACTATTTCAACCCACCAAGCAGCAGGGGTCAAGGACAGCCCTGTCAGACACCACTGCTCAAGTGATCTAAATCCATGTCTAAAGTGAGTTTCTTTCACCTTGCAAACATATATGTACACAAGTTAAAGTTATTTACCTTAGGGACTTGGGGCAATTTTTACATTTGTGGAAGGTTTTAAATGATCCAAGCCTTATAAAAGTTTTCCTTCCATTGTTTGAGATGATTTTGAATCCTTTCTAGCAATGGTAGTATTTGAATTTTACAGAACTGGAAATTATCTGTTGTCTGTACCAACTCAAGATCAACTACTTGTAACTTCTATTTAATGTCAGTTTTGGCTAATCTGCCCTTCAAGTCCTACAAAACCTCTGAAGTAATCTACTCATGTGCTCCACAACATTTACAAAGAGAAAATTTCCCTCAGTGTGTACCCCTGCCCTTCTTTGATGTAATATAAGCCCATTACTGTTTATACTGGTTTTTGTGGCCATAAGGAAATTGATTATTCCCTTTCCCCAGTGCAGCTGAGAATACATGCCTTCATTTAGTCTTCTCTTCAGGCAAAACAATGCCTGAAGAGAAGACTAAATGAAGTTTAGTCAAATGCCAGTTTATTCAAGCCTCCTCTGTAAATCATATTTCCTAGACTTTCCCATTGCTCCCTTGTGGGCAGAGTCCAACTGGCACAAATGTACCCAAGTGTGGAGCCCAAAAGCTGAATCCAGTATTTCTCCTAGGGCTCTGTGAAGAGTGCCCAGAGCTGAAGGAATAATTTCATTGATCTTCTGGGATACCCTGCTTAAACACCAATCTGGAATTATGTGTCTTTCTCTTTCTTCTTCCCCTCCCCTGAAGACAACACTGTTGATACAGTCAGCTTTTAATTCCTGATAGCTCCCAGACTTTTTTCATTCAGATGTCTCTATAGTGAATAGTTCTCTCTTCACACAGCTGAGTATCCACTGCCACACTTTTATTTATCCTTACAGTGACTGTTTATTCTGCCTTCAGGTTCTAGCTCTGTCCTCCAGTTTAACCACGGTCTGTTGGATGCAAGTTTAATAGCAGTGATCCCCAGATAATTATTCAGGCCATTGATGAAAACACCCTGGAGACACAGTGGGTGGCTGACAAAACCTGTCCTTCCCTGCCACCCTCCCTCCCTCTCCCTTCTGGGCTGGTGGCTGGGCCTGGCCTGGAATGCCTTGAGTTCCCTGCAGGATCACCCAGGGTAGGTGACCTTTTGGCATCACCTACAGATAACTATTTTTCAATGGAGTATCACATCAACTCCATCTTCTTCTAAACACTTTCACTCACATTATTTTAAAAGTATTCCTTGCCAGTTAAATTTTATGTTTTGGCCTTCTACATACCTATACCTAAGGTCTACAAGGAAACTACAATTGTGTAAAAAAACTCCCACAAACCCATTATTTAATGTAGATATTTCTAAAAATCCTTCCCTAAAAAAGCTTGGAAAATTTATGGATATATATTTATCAAAATTATTTCAGGAGCTTTAATTTATCTCCTTTGTTTTTCCTGAGAAAATCCTATCATGAAACTCTCTGCCTGAATGCTTCCTGAGATGCGCTGATATCATTTGGACCCAAGATGCCCTTCAGCAGTGTGAGCTCAACCACTTCCTTCCCACTGCTCAGCACGTGCCCCATGAGGCTCTCCAGCTCACAGTTCTGTGCAGGACCATCACCAGGACAGACCAAACCTGCCCTCAGTCCCCTCCATCTGGTACATTCAAAATCCAGGCAATTAAAATTCCCTCAGCATCAGCTTCTAGAAGATCCTTCTGGACCATCTCATAAAGCCTCAACCACGTTATCATTTTTTGGTGACCTATGGCATCCTTGTATTTTTTACTTTAGTTTCACCTTCCACAGCATTACCACAAAACAATTCCTTCTAGAACAAGTGTGTTGTATAAAATTCAATTCAGGAGGCAAAGATCACCACTTAAAATCTCCAATTTTCAGAAGCAGCCCAGATTATAAATGTTGGGTAGATATGAACACCTCAGGATGTCAGCTCTGATCACCTCCACCCATCTCGGAAGGAAGTCACCAAACATCACAACCACTTCTTTCTATTTATCATTATCAATGAACCATAGAAGGTTTGGGCTGGAAGGAACCTCCAAGATCATATAATTCCAACCCCTGCCACAGGCAGGGACAGCTTTCACTAGACCAGGCTGCTCAAAGCCTCATCCAACACTTTCTAATTTAGGAATTCCTTGAATTTCCTAATTTAGAGGATTCAGTGTACAGATCAGCATATTTCAGCTAGTTATTTTTAGCTAAAATAAATACACTCCTTTCCAGTGGACAGCTGTAGGGGGTTGTCAGGTCTGGCAAAGATTCAGAAAAACAACATCTTGGTAGCACAATAGAGAAAAAAATGGATTGTTGGAATGGAGCTGCATCTTAGTGGTGCATGTTGCAAGGACAACACTAACAGCATTCACAGCAGCTGGGTCTTTCTGCTGCACTCTGACATGCTCTGGGTTTCTTCATCAAGTATTCTGAAACATGAAAATACATCAAATTTCTACCAGCAGTATGTGAGAATCAAAGCACTTTGTTGGCCTAAAGAGCTTCATTTAAGATGCACATTACACACAATTTACTATTTGCTGCAGCACAGCTTTTCACCAGTGCTAAAAAACCTCCATGAGCTACCTGAGAGGCTGTAACAAACAGCTACTACTGCCTCCTGTAACTGAATGAAAGTACATTCATCCTTTTACACAGAGCAGGGAGAGTCCAATAAACCCAGAAAGCTGCTGGAACTGCATCACTGATGATGCACACAGAACATTGAGCAAGAAATAATTTATCCCAATTAGTGTAGCAGAATGGCTGCAGTGATATTCTAGGAGAATCTGTGCTGTCTTCTGCAGCAAGGCAAGAGATCTGCAATTTTTCCTACTCTTAAATAAACCACTCTTCCCTCTTCCTTTGCATTTACGGAGTCTCAAAACCAGCTAGGCTGCTAGATTTGAAGTGGAAACTCACACAACATGACTCAAGTGACTCATCTGAATGGAAGAGATTCAATTATGACATTTCCCCAGCCTCAGCCAGTGTCTTTCACAGGTATTACAGGAGCTTTAGACATCATTTGCTCAATCCCACTAACATCACAGGAGGTTACAACACAAGGAGCTCCTGTTTGCAGAGTTGCCACACTAATATCCCTGTTACAGGAGGCTGCTGTTTCTAAGTGCAGTGAGGCTCCAAGACTCCTGCAGCATAAAGCTCTGCTTGTTAAGGGAATCCACCAAATACTCCAGAAGAATTAGAAATGGGGAAAATATTTTTTTCATGTTTTAAACATACTCCCCCCAAGTATTACTCTTTACTGCCTCTTCAGCATGCTATTTGTTTTTCCAAGGAACAACTTTTCTAGTGCCACCTCTCTGGCAGGTCCCAGGGCCACACAGCATGAGTGAGGATTGTGGACACTGTTGACATTCTGAAGTTGGATAGGCTGACAGCAAACATGCCAGGTTTGTCTGTCTCACTCTGGATCTCATCCCGGAGAAAGTAACTGATGGAAGAAACAGCCCTTTACCATCACATAGGTATCACAAGTATATTTAATTTCAATTACCAATTAACTACTAGTAACTTTATGTTGCCTGCTATGCTATACAGGCAGACCCTTGGCATAATACAGAATTCTGTAAAAACATAATTCTGGATTATTGCACGTCAGCAAGAACTCAGCAGATGCAGTTCAGAAGCAGTTCACCATGCAGTAAGGATGCTGCAGGGGATGGGGGGAGAACATCCTTTAAATTCTTTCACATTTAATCTTGCTGAAGTTCTTAAAACCAACATGTTGGAAGGCAAAGGTTTTGAAATCTGAGAAAGATTGCCTTGCTGCTGACTCCTCTACACAGTACTGAAGCAGTTTGCTGCTGAGTGAATCACAGCCTGGCACCCTTCTCACTTGCTGTGTTTCCCTTCATTCAGTCAGCCCTGCCCTGGGCAGCAGGAGGAACAAGAGCTGGGCTGAGGGACCAGAAGAAGAAACCCTGCTCAAGTGTCTCCCACCCTGACCTGCAAGGCCCTGCCCTCTACCTACCACAGGGGAGAACTGTCTGTCCCAGCCCTCAGCTGCTTCTGCCTCAGTACCCACACTCACTCCTAAAATATCCTCGCTTTTGTTCAAGTCTGAGGTGGAGGAACGAAGAGTTTTCCTCAAAGACTCCAGGGATCAAGAGGGGGTGAGCAGGCTTTTCTCAGTTTTCTTCTGGCCATTTAGCAAGGTTGGGCATTAACACTGAGAACTAGCAAAGCAGTGTGGAGCCCAAAGGAGATCGGCCCCAAAGCAACCAGGCCTGATTTTAGAGCAGCTGTGTACAGTGAAGAAAGAGACTGAACACAGAGCATCTGAGTGGCTGAAGTGGCCCAAAGACTATGACCAGGGAAGGGGTCAGGCAAACAGGCCAGGAGGAAACAGCAGAAGGATGTAACCACTCCTCTAGAGCAGAATCCAGGATTCCCACATTTCCAACAGCAGGCAAGAGTCTCAATCTCCTCCTCCACTAAAGTCCCAATGGAGAATGCCAGCAACTATACATTCTATAATCCTTTTTTGCTGCTCACTTCTCATTAGTGAAAGCACATATAAACAAATACCAGAAATACTGCAGCTTGCTGCTGAAATACTAATCCTGCTACCTTAAATCAGCTTCCTTCAGCCTATGTAAGCCTACATGTGCTATCTTGCCACTTTTCCCCACATAACCAACACAGGTTGACCCTGCTCTTCCATAGCAATAGTTGTGAAGTAAAAGAAGCTGTGACCCAAATTCACCTCTTAGAGAAGCTGCAAACTGGGAAATCAACAGCCTTGGGACTGAAATAAAAGTAAGAAAAAAAATTATGGAAAAACGTGACTCAATCACATAAAGGAGTCAGATACAATCCATGTTTCTGTTCCAGGGTTCCTAAAAGATCTTGGAAGATGTACATACCCAAAACATGCAGCAAGTGACCACTTATTTATTGTCTGAACTGATCTGTACAGCCAGACACACTGAGCTCAGAGTGATCTGCTCTTCTGACACCATGAACAACCTGAAATCAAGCATTACTGGGATGGAACCTCAGTTCAATTCCAAGCCATCAGAATCAAAGCCCTAAAAACGTGAATAAGGTCAATACATTTCATTGTAATGGTTGAGATTTTCTTAATTCTCTGCAAGTTTGCCTGTGGACACCTCCACTCATAAACCAAAAAGCCACATTATTTAAAGTGTTGCTAACAAGACCTTTGAGAAATAGCTATAATTATATTCCTTACTGCAGCCAGTACATAAAGCAGTTTGACAGTACTGCAAAATAGACCTATTTCTAACTACAGCACTATGTGGGAGCAGTTGGTGAGAAAAAGAGATCTGCTGGGGCTTTTGGGGAGGGTTACATATGAAATCTACACTTGAAAAAAGTTCCAAAGGTGGCAAAGCATAGGGCAGGCTACTGATATTGCACATGAAATTTAACCCACAGAGAAATAGAATTTTTCTGTTGTAAGACTGAAGTACAATTGAAAAACTGACGCAGAAGGTCAGCATAGTATCCAACAGGATTAAACACTAAACACAAGTCCTTGGGGAAGGTCTCTGGACAAGGCAAGCTGAGTGTTCAGCTTTCTGATAACAGTTCATTCAGCCTACATCAACCAGGCTCAAATCTGGCATGTTTTACTAGCTTGGAAAAAAAGTCTTGCAAATAGAGCTGTACATTTCCAGAGGCAGCTTTAAATCCAGAGCAGCATAGCTGTGCTCAGCCCCAGCTAATAAACCTCCCCAGGTCTCAGCTAACTCCACAAATAACCAGCTCAAGCCTCTTTGTACTACATCACCAGAACTGGGAACAGGGTCAGCTTAACTGCATTAGGTCTTAGCAACACTGGTTGCCAGCCCCAGTGAACCCTTAATGACTGATTAATTTTATACAGTCATTAAGAGTTATCCAAAAGTACACAATAGGTGTTTTACAGGCATGGGCATACAGTGAATCTTCGTTAAGGACACAGAGTGTTGTTCATGCTGCCTCTGCAATGGCTGTGATGGGGCAGGAGGTTCCTCATGCAGTATAAAGCTGCCAGTGCAATGTTTTGGAGGAAACCTGAATCAGCTGTCGGCACTAGATCCGTGCTGAGTGTCATGCGGACACAGCACGTCTAATCTGAGATATCATGTGAAGACTCAAAGTAGGATTCATCCTATCAAATTACAGCCTTTGCCCTTGCCTTCCTCTTCAGGAAAAATCCTGTGTGACAACACACAACTCATCCTCCTCTCAGAGAAGAAAATTGTTTTGGATTCTAATAAATTTGCTTGAAAACATTTTGCTTTGCTCTCCTTCCCTGTACAGAGCACCTGCCCGTGCTTTACAGGAACGAGCCTCAGCACTGCCAAGTGCTCCCAGGAACACACAAACTATCTTCTGTGAAAACACCCAAATCATGACCTGGGCAACCCTCTACACCCAGCACTGTGTCCCACAAGCAGCTCCAATGTGGACACTGACCACTGGACCAACTTGTTTCTGCACCTAAACTTACACCTAGAGACTCACAGACCATCTGTTACTGCAGGTCTACACACATGGAAATGGGGACATGGACTTAGGAGCTGGGGCTCTCCACCTCAGTGCCTGGCATTTCAGATAAACTCAGGACTGGATTCTTGCACTAAAGAAGAGGAAAAATGAACAAGAAGCTTCTCCCTGCATGTTCTCCAGCCTTCAGCTCAGGAGCTTCTTGGGTCAGACGTGGTTCCCATGAATCTGGTAACCTCAAACAGATTTCTCCTCCATGAGCTTGTCCAGACTCCCTTTGAACCCATGTAAACTTCCAGCACACAAAACATCCTGTGGAGGGAGTTCCCACAATTTAATGACACATTGTCTAAAGCCACTTCCTTCAAATTCAAGATTGTCCCTATTAGTTTCTTTACTGCCTCCTAATTCCGAAATGGAAAGGGAGTGAACAATTTGCCTCCGCTCACCCTCTTCCTGCTGCTCACATAACAGCCTTTCCAGACTGGAGCACCCTAACACACAGAACACAGAGCTGGTTGGTTTTTTTTTTTAATTACCTTTACACCTTTGACAGGAGTGCCTGTCTATTCCTGGCATAAGGAGTAACAAAGTGGTAGAGGTGTCACCATCCCACATTATCCATCCCAGCTCCAAACGCCCCAGGGCTGCTGCAGCCCAGCTCCAGGAGAGGAGCCTTAAACCCATTCACTCAGTATCAGAGAACACACCCTGAGATGTGTTTCAAGTGCAAACAAGCCTCTGCTTGGTCATTCCCCAGCACATTTCACCCCGTGCATTAATTCAAGTGCAGATCATCTTGACTTTAAAATAGCAGTAACAGAGAATGCCATACACCATGCTCCTCACTCCAGCAGTCAACTACATTTTCTGCATTATGATGAAGTCACTTCCTCACTTCTTCAGCCTCTGCAAATTTCCCATTACTGGCATTTTGCATTTCTTCCTGGTGACCACTCAAAAGCACAGCCCAAGAGTCCAACTCCTTCATGCTCTCACTACACACAGACTCACTTGAGCCTCCACTTGCCTTTCTACTAAATTTAATATGAACCATATTGATTTTATTCTGGATTCTTTTCTCACTGAAAACGACATGTAATTACTGTCAAGTACTAACTGAAGGTTAAGATGAACATTTGTACTTAAGAACCAAACTAAAACAATTAACACCTCTTGTTTCTATTTCCCCCAGTCCAGGCTGAGTGACACTGCCTTAATTCTTTCCTGAACACTTTGTTACTTATTCCATTATTGTACCTGGGATTGATGTCTTAAATCCGATGGGATTACAATCATTAAGATTGTCCTAGCTGTCTTTATTATTACTGCATATTAGCATTCTTTCAAACTCAAACTGCTGCAGTATGTAAAGAGCTTTCTGGAAAAAAAAATTACATTGCCCCCCTCAATTTTCAGGCCAGAGATCTTCAGAGCTAAGATATATATCAAAACAGGTGTCAATTACCAAATCTGGTCAGATTAGGTGTGCAATATCATTCAACGGTTTTCTTTTAAACTTAATGAGATAATCAGAATACCTGATTACACGGAAGTTCTCTGTGTATATATAAATAAGTGCCAAAAGATAGGAAACCAGGCAGAAGGAAATGCTCAGCGCTCTCAGAAAAACACCCGTGGAACCTGCACAGCTCAACGTTCATAAATGACCTGAAAAAGCGAAGAAAAATAGCTATACAACAAAATTTACTGGAGATGTCAATAAAGGGCTAACTGTGATGGATTTCAGAACTTTAACAGGCTCTGTGCCTTGGCAATAAAATTTGAAAGAGAGAAATGTGAAGTGATATGCAATGCAAAAACCAGACTCAACTTTCTATACAAAATGATGGACTGGGAGCTGACCACTGCCACTCAGGGACAGTATTCAAAGGTTATATAGTTAATTCCTTTAAAATAAAATCTCAATACTCCAAAGTGCCACAATTTTAAAGATTCCAGTATTAAGAACTAGGAGAAAAGGAACAAACCAGAAACCATTAAGATGCTGTCGGAATCCATCGCATGACTGCATCTTCTGATGTGTGCAGCTGTGATCCTCCCATGTCAAAAGGCTATAAATGAACTGGAAATGACTCAGAGCAGGGCACACGGATGATTAAACTACACAGCAGTGACCATATGAGGAACAACTACAGCAGGACTGGAAAAAAGACAGTCTGGAAGAGACACAGCCACAGAAGAAAACAACTGGATGCTTCTCTCAGACCCTAAAGAGCAGCGAGCAAAGCTGGGGCCTGAAACAAGGACAAGAGCAAATGGGATGAGCCAGTTTGAAAGCACAGGCAGGCAGGCCTCCCAGCAGGACACATGGCAAGGCCTCACCACATTTCTACTTTTTAGATCCATAATTTCATAGTTATTTGAGCTCCTTTTTCCTCCCAGTTACTTTCTACAATTTTGAGCTTCTGTTTTCTACTTTCTATGTTCAGTTACTACTTTTCTCTTATTTCATCTGTAGGGCTTTCTTGCACTTTTTTTTAAGTGTGAACAAAACAGATGCTTTCATTTCCTTTCCAAGCCAGGTTATTTAATTCACATTCAACACTTGGAAGGAGAAAAACACTGCAAAAGAAGGTTCCTGAAAGACCTTTTTAAAGCATGTTTAAGTCAACTTTTTTTAAAACTAAACCAGCAATATGTGCAAGCAAAACTCTGTCTTAACATTGTCAACATGCATCCTGTTTTGTTAACACCAAACTTAGCAGGGTGCTCCTGATAACTGCCTGCAAAGTTCACCCCTATGCTGTTCACCTCCCTACTGGTACATAATTAGTAAATTAACACCATTTCAGAACCCAGGGAAGAAGACTAATTTGAGCATTTCTCCCTTGTCTTGCTCTACCATGACAAGTCCCTCTCCAAGGCTGAAGGCAAAGTTTGGATTTTGGGGGCAGAAAGAAGGATTCTGTCCTCAGGTTCTGTGGCTGCTGTTGCTGTCCTTGCTCCCCCCATGGAACATTCTTGCTCATTTGCCCCCACTGACTCCATCTTTGCTATCTGCAGGCATGACTTACGAGAGCACTTCTCTTATGCAATACCAAGTCCCAAGATTACTCTGCACAAAATGAGATTAGGGCTTAATATTGAGGTAATTATAGTAGATCTGTGGATTTCCATGCCTGTGTAATCTGCAAAAAGCTTTGCATTTCAGCCAGTTTTTTCTTGCTGTCCTCTCCTCCCAGACATCTCCTGCATGTCAGATGGGATGTGGGGCACCTCATGCTGAGCAAGGCAGGCTTCTGCTTGGGTGTGGTGGCTCTGTCTTCAGGTGCTGGCAGCAAAGCACATATGGACAAGAAAAACTAACACAAACTTCTCCAGACAGCCACTTGTACCCACAACTGACACTCACCTGTGCTCCTTTCTCCTCTTCTCCCACCACAAGACATCTGTTGAGACTGCACTGGTTCAGATCAAACACCCAGCAAGCCCAACACTGCCTGACACTGCAGGTATCTCAGAGTAAAAGAAGGAGCAAATGCACTGATACCACCACAAGTGTATTTTCTCAGTAGACAGCTTGAGGATAATTATTTCTTTTTATTCTTTATGCCCAACAGCCCAACATTTGACAGTGTTTTCTGCTGTCACTCCACCTGTTTGGTTCTGGAGCCGTGTAAATCGCTGTCATTCAAAGCACTCTGTGGTCCCAGTGCAGACTGAGGGAGAGGCACCTCAGTTTTGATCTAGACCAGACTGCTTGGTCATGTCTTTGCCAAGCTGAGGAGTTCAAATCTTTTTAAGCATCCCTTGTATGGAATCCATTTCTTATCTCTGATCGCTATTTCCAGCCTCATCTTTGCTTTTCCAGTTGCAATGTATCTCAAAGCACATCTTTCTCTGTGGCACCCCACTGTAATCAGTGTGTTGAGGATGAAGAGCCATGATGCTATCTCTGTTTTCCTTTTTTTATTCCTTTTCCAAAGCCCTTCATACAAACTCATATGATCACTGTTGAACACTAAACTTCCATTTTCACAGAATTATGGCAAGCTCTTCCTTCTAAGTGGCAATGATTAACTTTCACCCCATCAGTGCATAAACAAATTAAGACTATTCCCCTGCTTTGTATTTATCTGGAACAAATTTCATTTGGCATTTTGCTGCCTGTAATTCAGTGTGAGAAGGACAAGCTGCAATTCTTCCTAATCAGCTTTGGTCTTTTCCTCCCTCCATCCTCAACACCTTTCTCACCAGATCATTTATGCATATGCTGAACAGTAGAGATGTAACACAGATCCCTCTTCTTCTCTTCTCCCAAACTTTCCTTCTTTGTGCTTCTCAAGTAATTACAAACTTCCAACAGCTATGAGCTGCACCATTTCCTTTGCAAAAGCCACACTGGCTTTCTGCTACTCTTAAATCTGGTTAGCTTTTTTTTTATTTTCTACTTTTTAAAAAGGCCCTCAGCTGTGATATCCTGCTGAACTATCTTTAAGAACTGCTACCACATAAATCCTCCTCTATTTCTATGGCTTCAAGGTATTGAGAAGTTACACAGTGTAATTAGTAATTTGGTCATTTCAGGCCTGAGTTTCCTTTGGAACCCTTGGGCAAGCACCATCTGGTCTTGGCATCTTGTAACTGTATTTATTACTTTGCTCTATAAATTACTTTGCTGACAATTCAAGCAGAGACAGATCTTCCAATGAGTCCTGTTCTCCATAATGAGAATATCTGGCACAGGGAACTCTTTGGACTCCTGGACTCCTCCACAGGAAACAGGAATAAGTCATCTTCCTACTCATGGCTTCATCATCAAATATTTCTTTCACTTTTCCATCTATTGGCCCTCCAGAATCCTGAACCTTTCTTGTTTCTGATGAACTTGGAATTTTTTTTTTTTAGTATGATGTTTCTCAGAGTCTCTCTGACAGGTCCTTGTATCCTTGTATTTTTCATTTGACTTGCTAGACTTCACATTCTTATTTACTTTTCTGGTCAACTTCATGACTTAAACTTTCTGAAGGCTGTATTCTTATTTCTAATACTTTCTTTATCCCAAACTGCATGCTCATTCTCATCTGTCAACATTCCACAGTATAATTTAAAATCCTCCCAACAACATTTCCAATTTCAAGCGCAGAAGCCTAGTTCTGCTGTGGTTTACATGGAACCCAGCCTTTCCAAACAGCTCTTGGACTGAGGTTCAAAAAATGAGCCAATTCACTTGGTCAGCACCCAGTCAAGATCCCACTGTGAGACAGCCTTCTCACTTCACACAGTTTCAGCACAGCAAACGGGAGGTGAAGAGTAAAGAATCTCCAGGTGTAAAATATAAGAAAAATGAAATGCTAGCAAAGAATGCAAACAGAGATAACTGGTACTTGGACAGCTGCTAGTTCTTTCAAATCACTGACACATGCAAAGACAATCTTCCTTAAAACTGTGAAGATGAGGAGGAGGAATCCCTTTGTACACATCCACACTAGCAACCTGCTCCAAATGTGACAGTTCAGGCCAGGTGAGACAGAACTATTTATGGTTGCAAAACACTGCTAATTAACTGAGCAGAGAGACTGAATTGAGCTCTGTTTCTGATTAAAAAACAACAATAAAAAAGCAAGCAGAAAACCCACAACTGTCAGAGCCTGAGGAAAGCAAAACCTCATATTTGGTGTACTGTCCAATTTTACTGGGTATACTGTGACTCTCCATCTGTTTGTTTTACAAGGGACCTTGGTCATGAAAGGTGGTCACAGAAAGACAGCAAACCTTCTTCTGATTAGTTTAATTAGCTGACTCACTTAGAAGGACTGGCTGTTAGTTGTGTGGATGGCAAATATCTTAATTAAAAGGTGGTCTATAGATATTTTAATTCAACTTTTATAGTCTCAAATGTCCTTTCCAAATGAAAATATGGTGATAGGAAAAGGACAGAAGAGGGACAGGGCAGTGTCACTCTACCAACTCCAATTAGCCTTTGTTACTTTATTCACTGTTCAGAATGAGTGGTAACAGATCCCACCAAGACCAGAAGGCACCCAGACATCAAACAGGAGTGTAAAAGTAGCAGTAACTTAACCAGTGTACCACAGGCAGTATTTTGGGGTATTTTTGCTTATTTTTGAGATTTACCAAAAAGTAATAAGCAACTACCTCTTTCTATTTAGCTACCCACTATTTATAGCAGGAGAGGAATTATACCAAAAGGCAAGGAGCAGAGGATTTTCATCATGCACTCAGGTGGGTGCAGGTGCTTAGCTGTACCCTGGGAATGGAATGAAGGTCAGCTGTCATTTGGCACATTTATTTTGCATTGCACTGTTCTCTATTACAGAGTTTCACCCTTATTATGTGTTTTACTAGGACAAGCTCATCATGGATTAATTTAAAATTTCAAGGGCACACTTGCTGTACTTTATCAACATGCTCACTTCCTCAAACTCACTCAATTACACTTCTCCTCCACAGTTCAAACTGCATTTAAAGACACTTTGTAAGGCAACAGAGCAGAACAAGAGAGAGATGAGATTTAGTATTAAAGGTAAAAGATGGTGGCTGAGTGGAGACTTGGAAAGAACCTGAAGATGCCACAGCAGCAGGGAATAAAATGTTAGAGAAACTGAGAAGGTACACTTGGCTAATGAAAAGGTAGCCAAGGTCAGAAATATCTAGCACAGAGCAGACCACAGACATGGTGTGAAGAAGAGCCCACAGGGTTCTGGGCAACTTAAATACATTGAGAGAAAAAGATTAAGTGTAAAAAAAACCAGAAAACCCAAGAGCTACTGTCAGAAAAATGAGGAAAGATTATGGTACTCCCAAGACCCCTCCAAAAGGTTTTCATTTGGAATTTGCTTATCTGAAGAGCCATCCCCAGCCCTACATCCTGGTGGCAGTTAAGATCATTTAGGATGTTTTTACTGTCAATTCCTGGCTCAGAGAACTCCCCGCCTCTGGCTGCTGTGGCACTCGGCCAGGGCCTGAGCCTGGTGAGCGAGGAGGGACAACATGGGAGCTGCTCAGCTCACTTCTGCTGGGACTGAATTTATTCTGTTCCTGGTGTGACGGTGCATTCATGCCTTGAAAAATTATTTTGGAAAAATCCATGTATTCTAGTGTTAAATGATACAAAGCACCCAAATTTACGGGTGATTGTACAAATCACTCAAATTTATGTCAAACACATCTATGCTGAATATGCTGTTAAACATTCCAGTGAACTAGTTAAAGTGAAATAAGGCTAAGGTTTTTCTTTTTTTAAACATGCAGCCTTGGTCCAAATCAGTGCCAGAATTTGACTCTGTATATTTGAATGAGAAATGCCAGTGCTGTGTGGCTGTATGGAGACCTGGATAAGACCAGAAGAGTGCAGGGAGAAAGCACACATGTATCAGAAAAGCTTTAAACAGCAAGTAAATATTTTCACAATCAATCTTTTTGGGGAGGGAAAGACTTAATATTTCCATACTGGGAAAAAATCCCCAAATAAAGCCATCAGAGAACTTAATCTTTGAGTCACAAACAATATTTAGGGCACATAAAATTAACTTTTGATATTTCTGAGGTAAAAAGAAGATCAACAGAAGTCTGCTTCTGGGAGAAGTTCACCATTTCAAAGTCACACAGATGGCAGAATTGACACTTAGGCTAAGCTCTGGAGGGAGAGGAAAAGGCAACAACAAACTTAACATTACCTATGGAGGGCTTAGTGTTTAATTTTCTCCAAATACTGTATCACACAGAGAAAGGGTGGGTGGGAACCACTGCTCCTCAAGGGTTCCCTGCAACAAACAGGTGAACTGTACCAGGAGAAAAACAAAAGCTGGATATGAGGCAACAAATAAAAACAAACAAACGCCCGTTCCAGACACCTCTTAAAGGGATATCAAAGCAGATGTGGTATCATTGGACTGGGAACAATACTTCATCCTGAGGATCTGTAAGAACTAACTCTCCAGACCTCTGGGAGAAGTTTTTAGGTTCTATTTTTAAAACCCAAACAGCGGTCTCGAGGTTCCTCTCGCCCTCGAAGGAGTGGCTTTCCTGGCAGAAAAGCTTTGTGCAGATTTCGTTGAACACCGGGCAGTTCTCAGCCAGGCGAGGCTCTCGGGGCTCCGGCCGTGTCAAAGCACCCCCGGCGTTTCCCGGCCTGTGCAGCCGCCCCACCGAAAAACACCGCCCAAACTTTCCAGTTTCGCTCCAAAGGCCGATTCCTCCCCAAGATAAAAGTTCATGGGCGCACACATCCCGGCAGCCCTTCCGCAGGGATCCCGGCCCGGTCCCGCGTGCCGCGGGGGGCCCGGCGCGACCCCCGCCTGCGACCCCCGGGGCGGGCGGGGCGCGGCCCGCCGCTGGTGACGTCACACAACGCCGCCACTCACCGGGGCAGCCCCGGTGCCGCCCGTGTCACCCCGCGGGGCCGGGGCAGCGCGGCCGCCGCCTCCCTCCGCGCCGCCCACGGCCGGGCGGCGGTACCGGGGCCCGGGCGGGGCGCGGGCGGCTCCCGCGGGAGAGCCCCGGGGCCGCGCCCCTCCCTCCCCTCCCCCGCTCCCACGGCCCGGAAAAGGCCCCGTTACCGGCCCCGGGAACCCCGGGAACTCGCGGAGAGACCACCCCAGCCAGCCCTCCCCTTTTATGCGCGGCGGTGGCGGCGAGAGGCCCGGCCGGGCCCGGCCGCCCCCGCCCGCAGGCCGCGGACTCCCGGCGGGGGCGGGCGGGCCCCACCCGGCGACGGCGGCGGGAAGGGGGGAAGGGAGGAGAGAAACCGGCGATCCGCTCCCCCTCGCGCCCCCCGGTCGGCCGAGAGCCCCCCGGTACCTGCGGCCTGCGCTGGTCCGGCTCCCGCCGCCTCCTGCTCCACAGGCCCGAGCGCGAGCGGCGGCGGCGGCGGAAACGGGCGGGGCGGGGCGGGCCCTGCGCGCTCCCGGCCCCCCGCGCGCGCCGCGCTCCCGAGCCGCCCCGCCCGGCCGCGCGCGCCCGACCGTCCCCCGGCCAATCGGCGCGGCCGCGCGCGGGGGCTGCCGGGAAGGGCTGCTATAAAAACGCCGGTGCTATTTACATCGCGCCAGTTGGGGAGCGGTGGGGCTGTGCTGTGTGTGCTCGGTCAGGGGAGCTGCCCGCCTTCTTGCGGCCTCATCGGTGCCTACCGTGATAGGAGCTCTCGATGCTGGGCACGGCCCCTCCGCACCTACTGGGGGAAAGGCGGCTGTGGTGGGGACCTGAATCGCGATGCCCAGTTTGCCTATGGGTGGTTCGTTTCCCCCTTTCTTCCGGCGGAGTCTCACCGCAGGTCCCGTGCGTCGTTCTGGGCCCTCAGCTCAGAAGGATATTGAGGGGCTGGAGCGAGGGCAGAGAAGCTGGGGAGGGGTCCGGAGCACAAGTCCTGTCAGGAGCAGCTGGGGGTGTTTAACCTGGAGAAAAGGAGGCTCAGGGATGACTCTGCACAGCTCCTGGCAGAAAGCTGTGCCAGGTGGGAATTGGCCTCCCCTGCCTGGGACCTCATGATGGGGTGAGAGGATGTAGTCTTAAACTGCTCTGTGCTGGACATAGGAAGAATTCCTTCACAGCAGAGGTGATCAGATATTGGAATAGGCTGCTCTGGGAGGTGTGGGGTCACTGTCCCTGGAGGTGTTCAAGGAAAGGCTGGCTGTGGCACTCTGCCATGGTCTGGCTCACATCCAGGAGTTTGGTCATAGGTTGGATTTGATGACCTCAGGTCTTTTACAACCTAATTGATTCAGTTAAAAGTGGATCGGGGCAATGGTATCAAAGTGCCCTGTTTGTCTCTGAACCTGATTGTTCCCGTGGAGCAGATGAGCCCTGCTCCTAGCAGGCACTGAGCTGTGCTCTTGGCTAGAGAAAGCTGAGGGGCTCACAGGCAGCACAAAGCAGGGCCTGGAAGGGTTGGACTCACTGACAGCATCTCCTGGGCATGTCTGTGGTGAGCTTAGAGCCAAGGATTGCCCTCATCCCAGGGTGCAGAGCCCTGTAGCTGATGCCCTGGAGGAAGGGTACTACTTCATTGTTTCCTTCCTTGCCCACCTGAGAAGGTTCAACATGTGGAACTGGCCTCAGAGGACCCAGGGTGGGGACATCACTGCGAAGGGAATGTGTGCATGGAGAGGGTTGATGACAAAAAGCCTCTGCTGTGTCTCAGGGCTCCCTTGTGAACAGGCACAGCAGCCTTCAGCTGGCAGCTGGGGATGGCCCGTTTAACCTGGGCACTGTAACAAACTGGTGCTCTGCTGCATCTGATGTGTGATCTGCAGTGTTTGTCCCCATTCCCTCATTTGACAACATTTGCATTGCCAGCTAACTTTAGCCTGACCTTTTTATGGGCTACTCTGGTGCCTGTGGAGGAAAGGTGCTGCTTGGCTCCTCTCAGTAAGCAGCTCCCTGGGACTGGCTTGTTCTGTAGAGCATTGCAAGGAAGGTGACTTTTCCTTACCAAGCAGACATTTGATTCAATGGGGTAAATGGTTTTTACAGCTTGGTACCAGTTCTTGGATGACCGACAGTGTGCACACTCTGAGGCCCATGATGGTTTATTCTGTGGCTGACCAGTACACCTCCACCTCTGATGCTGAGACAGAAGTTCATTTTCCTGAAGTCCATAGGGAAATTACCTGTGATTTGGACACTGGGTTGGTGAGGCTTGAACCAGAAATCAGTTATTTCTAGGCCATAGGTTCTTTTCATAATTGTTTTTTATTACTGTTTGATAGAGATCCTTGTGGCCTACTGGTTATTTTTCATGATCCATTGGGAAATTTGGCTTTGTTTACAAAACACTGTCAGGTGTTTTGATCACAGTGTGTGTGCTTCCTTTTCCTGGCAGTGGCTCCTTGCCCAAGGGAGAGCACTCACTGAATTTGGATGGTTCTGTGGCCCCAGGTCCTGCTCTCTCAGGTGGGTACTGTTTGGGCATGATGTTAATGAAAGTACTGTAGGAGCTGACTTTTCCCAGTTTGGTGAATAGGTAGCTCTTGATGGATTCAAAACTGATTTTAATCAAGGTGGCCAACAAGCTCTACTGCCAGCAATGAGGATCCTCAGTCTATCTCTCTGTAAACCACACCTTCTGAAGGTGTCTGTAGTGTGAGCTTGCCACCTTCTCTTGTCTTGTGTGTTATTGTTGAAAACAGTTTTCATCCTGACTTTCATGATGGCCAGGACCCAGTAAGTTTTCTGTGTCAAGGGTGAGAAAGGTGCAGACAAGCTGCAGAAGTGCAGCTCTTCTCACACAAATTTGGAGACTTTGTTTATAAATTAAAGGCAATGTATTCTGAAACTATTAGTTTGGTCATAAACATAAGCCCCTCCTCCCCTCAATTTATTTTTTAGCCAAGGTAAAGGCCCACACAGGGGGAAAAATGGTTTATTAACTGAATAGCTAAAACACCCCTGAATATCTTTTGCAGATATTTTTATTGCAGAGATATCTTTTGCAATCAGTTCTACTAAACTCAGACAGTCTTTCAAGTCTGTTTACAGCTATCAGAAAAAAAAAAAAGAAGCCAAAAACAAGGACTGAGAAGAAATAATAGCATACAGTAGCTGATAAGGTTTTTTTCCCTTAGGGAATATACCATGAGTTATATTTTTGGTCAAGCTATACACTTGACTGAAGAGTAAATGTAATTTCTGTGTCAGGGAACTGAGAGCTTCCTTCAAACACCACAGCATTGACATGATTTACTAAGAATGCTTCCATAACTTGCCCATTAGTTAATTGCATTATAATATGTTTTTAAAAGTCTTGTCAGAAACTGGGAGAAGTATCTAGAAGTGTTTGCCAACCAAACCTGATGGTATGTCAATGTTGTCTTTGTTCTGGGGCTATAAGCTGAGCAGTGTAAAGCATGTGTCTACCACAATAAAAATGTGGGATTGTGTCTGCTGTAGAAAAAACAAAACCAACCCAAAATCCCCACCACCTGTCCTTCCCAGCTGATTTGGATATCCAGCTCCTACTGTCAAGAACTTTTATCTGAACCCAGGTGGCTCAGATTAATAAACAATGAAAATTAGCAGGTCAAGCCAAATACGCCAAGTGTCTTTCCTATTTCCTCATATGTGGCCTAATTAAGCAAATGGGAACTTTCCCAATGGTGCCAATAAAAAAAAAGTAAAACCAGCAGAGTCCAAACCAAAAGGAGATCTATTTCTTCTATGTAGGCCATCAGTCTTCCTCTCTGCATAGCCTACACCACATTTAGGCCAAGTGCAGGCCTTGATGGATTTAGTTTTTGATCTGCCTCACAGATAAAGAATCCTGAAGGGCAAGTCACCTGTCTGAAGTCCTGAAGGAAGTGGCCACCTTAAAAGCCTGTCCTTTACCCTCCTCCTTCCCTGCTGCTGTAGCAATTAGCTCACTTGTGTCTGCCCATGGGTGGTATTTGCTGGGCCCATGGGTGCTTTGATGTGTTGCTGTCATGACAGCCCTGGTGAAGGGAGCAGTCCTGTGCTCTGGAGAGGATTTTAACAGAAGAAAATTTTACTGCTCACACAGATATGAATTCCAAAGCCTTTGATGTGCAGAGGGGGAGCAGAAGCTCCAAAACTTTGCTGGTCTGTAGCAGTGGCTGGGGAAAGGCTGCCCAGAGCCCCAGATCAGTGCTGCTGAAGTGTTGGGCACAGGCACCTCCAAGGTGGCATTGGCAGGTCCTGTTGCAGGACTACAGCAGCAGGAGAAAGCAGCTCTGTGCTCCTGCTGGGAGAATCCTGGTGGGAAGGCCTTGAGGCTCAGAGGAACACCAGCCTCCCAAGGACTGTGTGTCTCCCTGCCTGTCCTCTGCCTCCATGGGTGCAGCCAGCACTCTGAAATCCTGCAGCCAAGGCATCCGAGCACCCTGGGGTCTGTGCTCCCTGTCCAGGTGTGGCTTCCTGCTGGTCTCCTCCTGTGAAGGGGATTTACTGCCTGAACTGAAAGTTGTTTTGTCCTTACCTGGGAATGTGCATCCAGGAGGCTGCACCCCTCCGGGACCCTGGCTGGCCCTTGGGCTCAACAGCTCCAGACTGCAGTGACTTGCACGAGCTCATCCCTTAATCCTGGTGTGACCCACCTTCCTGTGTTCCACAAATAGGGCACAGGCTCCTCCTGCAGCTCTGAAAGCCTTTCCTATAGTCCACTATCATCTTGTTGCAAGTCATTTGTTTTTCTACACAATTCTTTCAGCTTGTGTGTCACTTGAAAGCTGAATTATGTAGTTTATTTCACACCAACACAACAGCTTTGCTTTAAGCTTGTACATGGCATTTTGTTGTCTTTCAGTGAGCAGTAGCTGCTGTGGCAAGAAAATGAAATGGCAATAACTTTACTTTGTGGTATGTTCAGAGAAACTTAATTGAATTAAAAACCCTGTCAGAGAAGTGTAGTTTGACTAATAGGCAGCAAACAAGACCAGTGGAGTTGAGTTTATGATCAAACCCAAAATAATTCCAGAACTTTGAGTTTGTAAATGGAGCAGAACACAGAAAATTCAGAGATGTTTAGTAGAATCCAGCAATAACTCTATTAGACAAATATCAATGCCGTATAAAACAAAGGAATATAGAATAGAAAGGGAATATATTTCAATTGTACAGTAAGGCATTTAATAGTAAAATCTTTCTGTGCACTTTGAGATAATTTGTTTTCTTCCTCTTTTCTAAATTTAAAAATACTTGGAAGAGCTCTAGTGAATTGTGCTAGAAATAAAAGTGAAGTAAAACCCCTTTCCCTTTTAGTTTTAAAGGGTAAGCAGAAGAGAACATAATGATGCAACTTGATCCTGAAATAATTAGATTTCCACAACATTTTATTATGCCAAAGCTGTTTTTTCTGTGAAGTG